AACCCTGGCAGTGTTCACAGCCAGGTTGGCTAAAGCCTTGAGCAACCTGCTCTGGTGGGAGGTGTCCCTGCACAGGGCAGGGGGTTGGGAGTAGAACCCAAGGCTCACCCAAGTACAACCTAAGGTCCATTCCAGCCCTGTAACAATATATAATTTGCAAGTCTTAGGTGTTTTTCCCCCTTCAGGGTGGGTTGCCACATGGGTGTGGACAATGGTTAGACTCAATGACCTTAGAGGGTTTTTCCAGCCTTAATGATCCTATGATGATTCCGTGATTCTCCGAGTGACCCTCTGGAACCCCCAGAAGAGGGAACTAACTGGATCAATTTTGTTCTCCCTCCTTCCAAACCTCTCTCTCTCCCAGCTCTGCAGCAAGTGGCCAAAACTACGGAGTCTGTCAGCTGTTTGATGAGATCAATCTTCAGCAGTTTCCATTTCCTGCAGGTTGGAATGTTCTGCCTGCCCATGCCATGGCAGTGCAGCCCAGGATGTGCCTGGGTGGGTCTGACCTGCTCTGCTGATGAGCAGATAACGGACTGTCCCTGAGGGTTTATGGTATGGCAATAAGGAGTTTGGATTAATGGATTACCAAGGCAATGCTGTGGGAAGGCTTTATAAACTCTGGGCTGAGGCTGAGTGCAGAGGAGAGAGAAAACAAAGCAGAGAGGCACGAAAAGGGCAGAGAAAGACCAAGGGCAGAGAAGAGAAAATCTATTCAGGTGGAAGAGGCTCAGCTTTGCAGGCACCATGAGAGGCTTCCTTCCCTGTGCTGTGCTGGCACTCGTGGTCCTGGTGCACAGCTCCGGGGCAGTCTATGTGCAGGTGAGTTCTTCCTCTTTAATTTGCTGCTATTACAAGTTCACCAAAGAGCTGATTTTGGGTGAAGTGGTGTGGTTGCAACGGGAATCTTTAACTGAAGTAAGAGCCCTGAATTATTGCTTTGCTCTGTCTCCATGGACATCTTCATCTCTTGTGCTCCAGGTTTGCCTTCTGTCAAATGCTTCAGGTGTCACCAGATGCTTCATTTACTGTTCATGTTTCACTGAACTTTGCTGTTTCATTCCCTTCCCCAGCTGTATCCCTGCTCCGAAGTCCCTCAGGGACTGTTGCATGTCCAAGGCTTTCTTCTGGCCCTAACCCCACGAGTTTTGAAGGTGGAAGAACTGGGACACCTCTCGCTTTAGAGAAGGATGGAAACAAGGTGTGACACAGGAGAAATTGTCTTGTCTAGGCAGGAAGTTCTTAATGAAAGTGCTCTGGGAGTTTATGTGATGGAGCCTACAGAGGTCAGCTAGAAAAAGAGGTGAAAGAAACATTTAGGTGGATCCAATGAAGTACCAACAGGCAGGTAAGGGATTGAAGGAGGCTCTAGAGGTACACAGCACCTCTGGCTGATACTCCATGCAACATGGAAGCACTTAAGGTACTTGGGTGCTCTGCTCTGTCCTTGGGAGTGTGTTGGATCTCTGCACTCATCCCAGGAAACAGCTTGGCAGATTTCCATTTGCTGTGTAAATAACTTGCTCAGAGTGCCAAGAGAATGAATATTTCTTAAGCAATTATTGACTGTGTGTGCAGCAGGTTCTCTGGGGTGAGATATCTTTGACTATCTTCTTTTTGTCCTTTGGATGACAGAGACATCCAGAGGGAGCAGGTTTAAGCTATTCATTTCTTCCACACCATTCTTCAGTGTCTGTATGAGTTCTCTGGGGCACAGAGAGCTTCTACCTCATGGAAAACATCTCAGTTTTCACTTGGAGGTAGAAACCCTCCAAAGTAAAGGAGAATAGCTGTTTCTAGGTTGGGGAAAGGTGCAGGAAGTACAGCTCTGGACTCTGAGCTGGAAGTCTTCTTTCATTAGGCATGAAATCTGGGTTTCCCCCAAGATCTGTGTGTGTTGCATTCCTTCCACCTGGACCACCTGAGGTCCCTGAGGTCCCTGAGGTCTGACTCTGCACAAAGTCACTGCACAAAGTTGGCTTATCTTCTCTGCAGTCCTTCCCCAGCCCTCCCTTCCCTCTCCTGTAATAAACCAGGAGTTGTCCGTTTGCTCTCCCAACATGGTTTTGAAGCCTGAGTGTCACCACCTTGGCACCTGACAAACCTGCAGTGACCAGGATAGAGTCTGGAGGCAGATGTGTTGCCTCACCTTGGAGGGGAGATGCTGCTCAGCTTTAGCTCTCTGATACATCTTTCTTCTCTGAGCTGGTGGGGTTTGGTCCTTTTATTGTTGGTCCTCTGTTCTTTCCTGTCCCCAGGCTATGGAGAAACCAGGAGGTTTGGTCCTCCTTCCTGGTTTCTCTGCAATGGAAACTTCCTTTTCTAATGCTCTGTTTTATGCTTCTGATTTCTGTGAGCAAGAGCTGAATCTAGAGCTGCTTTTGTACAGGAAAGGTGAATTTTTCATAGGGAGCTAAGGCTGATCACAGAATTGGTTAGGCTGGAAAAGCCCTTTGAGATCGTCAAGTCCAGCCACTAATCAGCACCGACAGATTCACCCCTAACCTTGTCCCATCCACATGGTTTGTGGTCCCCTCCAGTGATGGTGACTCCAGCACTGCCCTGGGAAGCTGTGCCAGTGCCTGACCACAGAATCCTGGAGTCATTAAGGTTGGAAAAGGCTTCTGAGATCATCAAGTCCAACTGATGTATTAACCTGAGTAAGATCATAAACTAATTGCAAGAGGCAAGAGTTTGAATTTGTTAGGTAAATGCTTGTCCAGAGTCTACCTGGTTGAGTACCCCTAAACCAGAATCAAAACCAACTCCCTGTTCATCTCACACCATTCACCACTGGGCTCAGGAAACAAAGGACAATATTTGGTCTTATACTTCATCAGAGTCACTTAATTTCTTTAAGGGAGTAGGTGTTGCTTGATCCCAGAATTCCAGCCTGGTTTGGATTGGAAGGGACCTTACAGACCATCTCATTCCATCATGGAATCATAGAATCATAGAATTTAAGGGTTGGGATGGAGCTTAGAGCTCATCCAGCCCCAAGCCCTGCCCTGGGCAGGGACACCTCCCAGCAGAGCAGGTTGCTCAAGGCCAACCTGGCTGCCAGGGTTGGGTTGGGGCAGCCATCCCTGGGCAACCTGGGACAGTGGCTCACCACCTTTAGAGTAAAAAACTTTTTTTCTAATATCTAAAATCTAATATATTTTATCTAATATCTAACCACCCTCTGCCGTGGGGGGAACCTTCCATCTTCCACATCACCTTCCTGACCCCACACTGGGCATTGAACCAGGTTAAATCAGAAGATAAAGCTCAATTTGAAAATGCTTAAGCCAAGCTGAGATTTTCTACACAGACTTCATGCACTTGACTCCCTAAGGGAGGAGTCACTAATCTAATATATTTTATCTAATATCTAACCACCCTCTGCCGTGGGGGGAACCTTCCATCTTCCACATCACCTTCCTGACCCCACACTGGGCATTGAACCAGGTTAAATCAGAAGATAAAGCTCAATTTGAAAATGCTTAAGCCAAGCTGAGATTTTCTACACAGACTTCATGCACTTGACTCCCTAAGGGAGGAGTCACTTGAAGTTGAGGGAATGACCATGAGCAGCTGCACAGAGACTATTCATCATAGAGCTCCCCCTTGCCCAGAATCCTGTCCTGTCTTCCCAAAATTCTTGGTGTGAGCTTTGAGTCAGAAGTGTCATATTTCTGCTTCCAAAAACTTGTGTTCCATGTATTGTGTGGCCAAGTTATACACTGGCATATGGTGGATTGTTGGGGTGTCCTGGGCAGGGCCTGGAGTTGGACTGATGGCCCTTGTGGGTCCCTTCCAGATTGGGATGTTCTGTGATTCTACATGAATGGAAACTTGCCACAGTATGTTGGGCTGAAGGATCTCAGTTCTTAGCAATGGCAACACGAAGGAAGAGCTCCCTGTGTGTGGCCAGGCCCTGCCAGGTGACAGCCACCTGGTGGTCTCCATTGCTGTGGAGAAGAAAGAGTGAACCAAAGGAATTCCCATTTCCTCCATTCATAGAATCATAGAACCATCAAGGATGGAGGAGATCTCTAAGGTCATCAAATCCAACAATTAACCTGTCATTGCTGGGACCCCTAAACCAGATCCTCCAGCACTAGATCCTGACACCTCTGAAACACCTCCAGGGATGGTGACTCCACCACCTCCCTGGGCAATATTCCAGTGCCTGAACACCCTAATAGAAACTCATGATCTTGTGGCCAGGCCCTGCCAGGTGACAGCCACCTGGTGGTCTCCATTGCTGTGGAGAAGAAAGAGTGAACCAAAGGAATTCCCATTTCCTCCATTCCATTCATAGAAGAACCATCAAGGATGGAGGAGATCTCTAAGGTCATCAAATCCAACAATTAACCTGTCATTGCTGGGACCCCTAAACCAGATCCTCCAGCACTAGATCCTGACACCTCTGAAACACCTCCAGGGATGGTGACTCCACCACCTCCCTGGGCAATATTCCAGTGCCTGAACACCCTAATAGAAACTCATGATCTTGTAAATCTCTACCATGTATCCTTTGAGGGATCTCTAAGGTCATCAAATCCAACAATTAACCTGTCATTGCTGGGACCCCTAAACCAGATCCTCCAGCACTAGATCCTGACACCTCTGAAACACCTCCAGGGATGGTGACTCCACCACCTCCCTGGGCAATATTCCAGTGCCTGAACACCCTAATAGAAACTCATGATCTTGTAAATCTCTACCATGTATCCTTTGAGGGATATTCCAGGCCAGGTTGGACAGGGCTTGAGCAATCTGGGCTGGTGGGAGGTGTCCCTGCCCATGGCAGGGGGTGGAATAAGATGATATTTAAAGGCCCTTTCAAGCTAAATTGTTCTGGGATTGAGTTCTGTGATTCTCATTCAGGTCTCACTGCTGCTCTGCAAGATCTGTGCCCTGAGGAGCTCATCATTTAGCCCTCAGCCAGCACAGATTTCACCCAGGCTTTGTTCCAACACTGTCTTTTACCCCATTATATTTTCTGGGAGAGCTCCTGGTTGCCATTGAATGGATTTGCCTGAGGCCTGACTTGCTGACACCTTGTTTTCCTGGTTCTGTTTCATAGGATGGAGACTTGCAGTTCCCCCTGGAGTCTGTGAAGAAGCTGAAGGAGCTCATGGATGACACCAGACGTGTCAACCCTCGCATGGTGCTTCCCGTGGCCTCCAGTTCTGTGTGTGAGGAGACAAACCTCCCCAAGGAGTTCCTGCCTGTGTGCAAGAGGCAGGATGCACCCATGATTTTCCAGAGGCTAAGTATGTTGTTCAGATTGCAGAGTTGCCATTTTTATCACACTTTTCAACCTTAAACATTCAAGCAGCAGGAGGAAAAGACATAGAATTGCTGTTCTGTCACTTCTAAAGCAGCTGAGAAGGTCTGTGCTGCCTTTCTGCTGCACCTCGGGCCTCTCCTCATGAGCTGTGAGCCCCTAAAGACAATTAAAAAAAAACTGCTGTGCTGAGCTGTAGCCTGTGCACATCAGGGTGCTGTGACCATGAAAAAGTAAACCCAAGTAGGATCATGGAATCCCAGAAGGGTTTGAGTTGGAAGGACCTTAAAGTTCATCCCATTCCACCCCCTGCCATGGGCAGGGACACCTTCCACCAGCCCAGGGTGCTCCAAACCCCATCCAAACTGGCCTGGAACACTCCCAGGGATGGAGCAGCCACAGCTTCTCTGGGCAACCTGTGCCAGTGCCTCAGCACCCTCACAGCCAAGAATTTTCTCCTAATATCCAATCTAAATCTCCCACCTGCAGCTCAAAGCCTTTCCCCTTGCCCAAAGTCCCTCTGCCATGCTCTGCCTCCAAGAGTCATGTGATGATTCTTCTTCTGGCTGCTCAGTGGCTGCTTTATGTTAGAATCATAGAACCACCAGGGTTGGAGGAGAACTCTAAGAGCATTAACTCCAACCATTAACCTCTCACTGCTGTAACCCCTAAACCAGAACCTCTGGCACCAGATCCAGGCACCTCTTAAACACCTCCAGGGATGGTGACTCCACCACCTCCCTGGGCAATTCCCTAGTCCAGTGCCTGAACAACCTCTCAGGGAAAACATTTCTCCTACCATCTCCTCTGACTCTGCCCTGGCTCAGCTCAAGGCCATTCCCTTCTGTCCTCAGAGATGTTACTATGCTGCATTTCTCTGCTCTCCAGTGCAATGGACATCTTAGGAACAAATGCTACCATGTCCCACTTGCCTCCACATGTTCCCATTGCTTCCCTGAGGAATTCAGCTTTGATTTTGTGCTTTAAGGCAGATTTTCCCAAAGGCTGTTTCCCTTCGAGCTGTAGGACCTCCAAGGCACATTAACATCATCAAACAGGAATGGAAAGGAGTCTCCAAACCCTTTGCTATGTGGCTCTGCTCTCTTGTCCTCTGACTGCCACCCTCTCTGCCCCTCAGGCCTGGCTGCCCAGGATGACCTGTGTGAGATCTGTGCCAACGCTGCCTGCGCCGGGTGCCTTTGAGGAGGAATCCAAGGAAGACATGTCCAGCTGGGAAGTTTGTGCATTTCTCTGGCCAGCTTACACACCCACAAATCAATCCTTCTGGGCCCCATCTCCCATCTCCAGCCAAACTGGAGCTGGTTTAGCTCCTGTAGACACCCTGGATAGTCCTGCAGTAGTTGCAGCAGGTGCCACCAGCAGTGCAGGTCTGGCAACAAGGAGGATGAACCTCATTGAGAGGTTCCAGTGCTGCAGGAGTTGGGGCCCTCTGGGATGAAAATGTCCTGGGTTTCATTTTTCACCCTTTTCTCTGGATTTGAACACACTGGGTGGGACTCAGCAGCCTCCTGAAGCCTTTGCAATAGATAATAGTTGATATCCAATGTCTATATCTGCCTGTGATTTGGCCTCCCCTGCACACAACCCCCAGCAGCACTGGGGTATCCTCTTTTCCAGCTTCCCAGGGTGTTGGATCACTCTCTCTCCCTGTGGGTCTGCAGGTGACACGTGTGGGTTTGTGCCAGACCTGCAGTAAGTAGCTCAGGGGCAAATTCCTGCTTTTAGCAACACTGTCCTAGCCAGAAAAATCCTCAGTCTGTTACTTATACTAATTGCTGTCGATTTAGGGACTGGATGTAGAGGAGCACAGGAACTTCCTGCCCTGTTGGATATCTGCAGTCTCTAAGCTGAAAGGGGCCCAAAGTGCAGTGCTGGAATCGCTCAGAAATGAAAGTGTTGCCTTGTGCTGTTATTTATTGTTGGCAAGATTGTGCAGGAAGGATCTGCCCATGTTTATATGCTGTAAATGAAATAAAAGCTACTAAGAATCTTGGATTTTCTTTTGGTGGAAGTTTTAGCTGGGTTTGGGCTGGGATTTTAGGTGACAGCCTTGTCTACTTGCTTTTTCCCTGGAGAAGGTCTTTCCTGTTTGGGTCTTTCCTGCAATAAAAGTTTATGCCTAAAGGATTCTACAGGTGTAACTGAACCTTTGTAGAATTTTGTCCTGCAGGGATTAATTGATGGCAAACCAGAGAGATTTATACTGACAAATATGATTTATTATGAGAACGAGTAGACAAAAAGATTCTAATCAGAATTATTTAGTACATGGTACAGGAGCTAGAACAACTATTATTACAGTGCACTATGAAGCTATATTGGAGCAATACCATTAAAACAATTGCATTAAAGCAGCAAAACCAATGATCAAGCAGAGATTGATGTTATTCACCCAGACCAGTGACTGTGGGCAAATCTCTGGCTCAGCCTCGAGGAGTGACCTTGAGGGACATCCCCACTCCAGGGAGGAATCTCCACACACAATCCAAGAAGAGCTATGGTAGCAGGCCCTGCTGTTAAATTTGGGACTGGGCTTATAGCATAAAGTCAATCACAGTTCTCCAGACTAGGTCAGCTCAGCAGCTCTAGATAAACTCTTACTACTATCATTTGTTTGTTCCCTTATTGTTCTAACACATCTTCATCTCACTCTCAGGTGTTTAACTTTGGGGTTGACAAGTCAGATTGGTTTCAGCATTATCCAGCCCCAAGAGCAGCATGACCCCCCATTCTCCATTCACTCCTGGTGGCTTTGCAAACAGGACATGGCCCAAGTTGGTTTACCCCAATCCAAGGCAGAGCATCCTGCTACAGATGCCCCAGCCCCTGGAGGGGTGTGTGAATCAAACAGTGGCTGTTGCTGCTTTCATGGAGAAGATTCATTTGCTTGGAGAAGTAACCCCCATGGCAAAAGTGAGAAGAGCTCCCTGCACAGGGAAGCTGTGTGCCCTCCTTGGCCCTGTGCTCACCAGGCCAGCACATACACACAGCTAGGGAGAGAGGGCAGGGAAGCCAAGGGAAATGTCAAGGAAATATCAGCTGGTTTTCATTGCCTTAAGTGCAGAGATAAGGCAAAGCCTTCAGCTGTGACAGCCTCGAGCTCAGAGCAGGGAGCTGCTGGCTCAGCTCCATTACCTTGCCTGGCTGGACCTTGCTGCAAGGGCTGAGCTCCAAACTCCTCCTCTCTTCTCCTGTGTCCCCATGAGTCCTCAACTTCTCCTCTCTTCTCCTATCTCCATGTGAATCCTCAACTCCTCCTCTCTTCTCCTATCTCCACATGAATCCTGAACTCCTCTCTTCTCCTATCTCCATGTGAATCCTCAACTCCTCCTCTCTACTCCTATCTCCATGTGAATTCAGCCTCTCAGGGGCCAAAAGGAGATAACACAGGTGTCTGGTCATGATGAAACCTCAGGTGGGTGGAAAGCAAAGCAGAGATAAGGAAAGACAACACAGAGAAGCTCCTGTGTCCTCAGGGCTCCCACTCCTTGTCTGTGATGTTGGTGCTGAGCAGATCCTCAGCACAGAGGAGCAGCACTAGGAACACCTGTAAGACACTTCATCTGAAACCCAAAATGTGCTTCACTGTACCAACATAGCCAAAAGCTCTCTGTACTCACTCAGAGCAGCTGAGCATCCCCCACCAGCCCTGGCTGCCCTTCCTTATGTGATTGTCATGGGCTGGAAAGGTCTGGTGGCATTCCCTCTTGGAATATTGGGAGTTTGGAGGTCAAACAGAGCAATATTGCTCTGTACCCAGCTGTTATCTGCTGCTGCTGTTATCAGGCTGTGCTGGAGCTGAGTGGTGCACCAACATCAGCAGCAGGTCAGCATATGCCAGGGAAAATGTGCCAGCAATGAAGGAGTGGCCAGGAGAGAATCATAAAGCTGTTAAGGTTGGAAAAGACCTCTAAGATCAAACCCAACCATCAACCCAGCACCACCATGATGGTGACAGGCTACTCCTGGCACAGCAGAGCAGCCTCTGATGGTCTCCACTGAATTCTCAAGGTCTTTTTGTGCCATCAGTCCTGGCTCTGAGGGCACTGTGTGAGCTTTAATGGACCTGACAAGGTCACCTGAGTCCTGCACCTGCCCATGGGCTTAATTTCAGTCCAGCTCTGAGCTGTATCTAGGGGTGCTGCTCTGCACCACAGCTGAGTACTGGAGGGGTATTGCTCTCCACCACCTGTGTGTGCCTGGCCATGAGCATCAGTGAGTAGGATCCCAACCCACAGACCACCTCCCTGGCTATACTTGGGCCTGGCTCTTGGTTACAGACCTGCCTGGTGATCACAGAGCTCTGGCTGATCATTCTGGACCTGCCTGGTGATCACAGAGCTCTGATTGATCATTCTGGACCTGCCTGGTGATCACAGGGCTCTGATTGATCATTCTGGACCTGTCCGGTGATCACAGGACTCTGATTGATCATTCTGGACCTGCCTGGTGATATTCTGGACCGGTGATCACAGGGCTCTGACTGATCCTCTTCACTGTTCCTGGCCCCAAATCTGTCCCTGACCTGCACTGACTTCCTGAATTAAATTCAGACCTGCCTCATCACCATGAACTCCTAACATTTCAGCTCTTGGTTGGACCTGATGATCTTTGTGTCCACCCTGCTCAGCTCCCCCAGGTGCTGTGGGACTGAGCTGTGGCTTGTGAGACTCCTGTCCCACTGGCCCTGGAATTGCTCTCCCAGCTCCCCATCCCAGCAGGAGCAGATGGATCTCACTGCTCTCTGACAGTACTTCAGGAGGTTTCTGTTTACAATCCAAATGCTAAGTTGAATGGAATCCCATGTCAGACAGAACTGCTTTGGACAGAGTTGGCTCTGGGCCTCAGGACACAGTCCAAAGCCCTTTCTCAGTGGTCTAGTGAGAGGTGACCCTGAGTGTGAGAGGGGGTTGGAACTAGATGACGTTTAGTGTCCCTTCCCACCCACACCAGTCTAGGATTCTCGGATTCTTCAAGCCCTCAGTCCCTGAAAAACAAGCTAGAATGAAGTGACTCACTGGCAATTCCACTGCTAAATCAAGTTATGAGTAGAGATATTCCCTTGTTTGTCACCAAACCACTGGGCTTGTGCTCCCTCCCACATTCTTCTCATCTCCAAAACCATTATTGTCCCTTTCCACCCCTTAGAAAGTTCCTTCCTCTTCTCCATTTTTGTTCTAGAGGTGACTCCTGAATCCCCAGTGTGGGGATGGGGAGCCAAGATCAGGCTGGACGGGGCTTGGAGCAACCTGGGCTAGTGGAAAGGGTCCCTGCCCCATGGCTAGGGGTGGAATGAGATGAGCACCAAGGTCCTCCCAACCCAAACCATCCTGGAATTCCTTGATATGATTCTATGACTTCCTATTAATGTTTAATCTCTAATGGCAGCACAGACGTCATCCCGGGGCTGATATCTCTCTCCTCTCCTTGTAAGAGATTGACAGACAATCGACTCTAGGCTCAAGGCTCTTGTCAGAAAAGTCTGGCTCAGATTCCTACATTGCTGTGCATAAGAAATATGCAAAACTGTTGCCAAGAGGGCAAAGGGCAGAACATGGCAAGGAAACCTGTAGGAGTGCTGTGAGCGGATCCTGCAAAGGATCCATACCTCAGTTCCATGTTGCCTCTCATCCTACCTCTAACCAAAGTGCAGGTTGGCTCACTGGGGCCTTTCCCACAGTGCCAAACTCTCCGTGCAGCAGGTTTCCATGTGTGCCAGCACTGCCAGAGAAGTGCTGACAGAGTTCAGTCAGTGTTACGATGTGAGTGAGTCAGGAGGACATGTGGCTTTGCTGTAAATCACACTCCATGGGGCACATCACCAAGCCATGAGCCATTCCAGCAGCTCAGTGTGTTCAAAGAACACCTCTCAGGAGAGAAACAGAACTCAAAGGGAAATTTATTTCCCAGTAGAAATGCCTGGGTTTCTGCTCACTAAGCTCATGGAGAAGAGTAACACAACAGGAGGATTGGTGCTGCCACTTTTGAACCTTTGTAGCTGAGCACAGCTATTCTTTGTCCTTTATTCTGGTTTGCTTCCATTGACTCTCATTCTCAAGGCTCATCAATGCCAAGCAGAGGTTGCTCAGCTGGCACACACCTCCAGCAATGTTCTGAGGAGCAAAGGGCAGCAGCAGTGTCCACATTTCACAGAATGACAGGATAAGCAGAGCTGGAAGAGA